AGACGTTTGTGGTCATTTGAACCAGTAGTGTCACTTTGGACTTACAAATGGCATTAAAAGCAGTCTTTAAGACCCAGTTTGTATGGCAGACGTGTGTTTGGGAAAGTTTTTCTTTTTTACTAGGGGTATTAGTTTCTTATTGCTGCTGTAATAAATGACCACAACCTTGGCAGCTTAAAACAACACAGCTGTATTATCTTACAGTTCTGGAGGTCACACGTCCAAGACAGCTCTCATGGGGATACAATCCAGGTGTTGGCAAGGCTGTATCTTCTGGAGGCTGGAAGGGAGAAGCTGTTTCCTTGCCTTTTCCAGCTTCTAGAGGCTGCCTGCCTCCCTTACCTTGTGGCCCCTCATCACGCTGACTTTGAATCCATGTTACATCCTTGACTCTGATCCTCTTCCTTCCCTCTCCCAAGGTCCCAGTGATTACATTGGGCCCACCCCGATAATCCAGGATAATCTCCCCATCTCAGTGTCCCTAATTTGATCACACTTGCAAGATAAAACATTTACAGGTTCTAGAAATTAGCACGTGGACATCTTGGAGGTCATGATTCAGCCCACCAGTCTGCAATTAAGAAATAGCAACTGAAGGTAATAATTAACTTACAAAGTGAATTAAAATAACAGGGAAAATTATGTAAAGGATAATCGTGCCAAAGGATGTCTCAAGATTCAACACTTTGAGATCAGCAAATAAATTCTGGACATCTGCCATGTGCCAGGCACTGTTCCAGGTGCTTGAACAAGACAGGCACAAATACCTGCTCTCATAGGGCTTACATTCGACAAAGACATCACAAATAAGCATATTATCTAGTAATTTACAGGTGGATAAGTGCTTTGGGGGAAAGGATGTGAGTCAGGGGAAGGGTCAGGAGAGCCGAAAGGGACTGGGGAGCTGTTGGGGCAGAGGGGGAGCATGGGGGGGGTGGGGAGGAACCATCTGCCTAAGGACACTAAGGGACGCTGCAGCATAGTTTTGGAGGCTGAGATTAGAAAAGGCTCTTATACAAGCAGTATTTGGGAACCAGAAGGAATTTTAGAGGTCAGCTAGTCTAACTTCCTCAGTTTATAAAGAGAAAGAAAGCTAAGGCTCAGAAGGTCCACAATGTGGTCTCTAGTTATTTTGCATTTGGCCTAAATTTGAGAGACAGTCTCCTCTCTCTCCAAGAAAGCCAGACATAGTCATCACGTTATCAAAGGCAGCGCCTGCCAGGAGGTAAGGCTGGGAGGGTTTTGTATCAGAGCAGCAGGAGGGATGGATGATTTCAGAGTGTAGTTCTATCTATGCCACTGCTGAAAAATTATTCCACAGAACTTCTAATATACCTCTTTCTAAGTGCAACATTCTGAAGTCTTAAATCAGTGACACTGGCCCTCCAGCCTTTGAGATGCAACTTTGGTGACAATAACCTACATTGGCCAGACACCAAAAGGAAGGGGAAAATGGATTATGATAAAGAGCTTTTGGTGTTTGTAACAAAAGAATAATGCAGCTTCATTTTCCTAATCATTACTGCTTGAAATGGTTATAATAAACCAAGGGTTGATTAGATTTTTTAATCGAATCTCCTTGCGTGTGACTATTTTCCAAAACTGTAGTTAAGCCAATACAAAAGCTCAGTATTTCTAAAATTAACAGTGAGAATTATTCGAGTCTCATGACAGTTAATAAGACCAAATGGTAACAATGTAACATGTTTCCACTCAGGAGACCTGTATGTTTTAGGGCAACACTGGATGAGACTTGGGTGTTCCTGTGCTTTACAGTCTAGAGCGTCTGTGTTTTCTCTGCCTGCTCTGCTCTTCCCCTCACACTCTCAGGCTCACTCTCCATGTCCCGGGTTCTTCCCTGCAGAACCCTCTGGTTTCCCTGCCCCTCTAACACAGAGAGAATTGCAACATCCTTTCTATTTTCATATCCCCTATCCCCATCACCAGCAGACCTCAGAACCTACCCATTTCCCCTACTTACCTGTCTGCCTCTTTCACAGTTTCTTTTAAAAATCTTTTTTTCTAAAAAATTAAAAACAGAACTACCATATGATCCAGCAATTCCACTCCTGGGTATTTATCCAAAGAAAATGAAAACACTAATTAGAGAAGAAATATGCACCTCAGTGTTCACAGCAGCATTATTTATTTACCAATAGCCAACATATGGAAGCAACCTAAATGTCTATCAAAAGGTGAATGTGGATAAAGATTTTTTAATGCCCTTGGAGCAAACACATACATTTATTTTTCTTTCCGTTTTGGAGGCTTGAGTAAAGACAGATTTGACTAGCCTCAGGAAAGGAACTCTGGATCCCATTTTCTATTATATCTGGAAATATATCCTCCAGAAATCCACATACTAGGTAGATAAAGTAAAGAAAGTTTTATTTAAAAGCCTACCAACGTTAGAAACAATTTTTAAAACCTACAAGTTAGTAATCTCATGAAGAAACTCACAAAACCACAGCAGTCCTGGTGAGAATGGGCATAGCTAAAATTTCTTCAAGCAGAATTGGAAGGAAATTGAATTAATTAGCAAATAAGTCAATGGAGGTTCGATTTTACCTACAAAGCTATAAGGTACAAGGCACTTTTAATAAGAATAACTACTCATATGGCAATTCTCAGAATTGTAATGAGTCTAGAGGAACATTTTGTCTTATATTAAATACCTACAGGTTACAAGTCATTGAACCAGGTGCTGGGGGCACATACACGGCAATAAGATACACCTGCTCTCAAAGAACTCACATTCTGTTCCTATAGATGGTGTTTGTTTGTTTTTTTAATTGAAGTATAGTCGGTTTACAATGTTGCATCATTTTCTGGTGTACAGCATAATGTTTCAGTCATACATATACATACATATATTCCTTTTCATATTCTTTTTCATTATAGGTTACTACAAGATATTGACAAAAACTCCCTGTGCTATACAGTATAAACTTGTTGTTTATCTGTTTTATTTACAGTAGTTAGTATCTGCAAATCTCAAAATCCCAATGTATCCCTTCCTACTCCTTTCCCCCTGGTAACAGGTTTGTTTTCTACATCTGTGAGTCTGTTTCTGTTTCATGAATAAGATCATTTGTGTCTTTTTTTTTTAAGGATCCACGTATAAGTGATATCATATGGTATTTTTCTTTCTCTTTTTGGTTCTCTTCACTTAGAATGATGATCTCTAGGTCCATCCATGTTGCTGCAAATGGCATTATTTTATTCTTTTTTATGGCTGAGTAGTATTCCATTACACATATATAACCACAACTTCTTTATCCAGTCTAGGTGGTGTTTCTAAACCAGAGCACTAGCAGCCTTTCTACAAGTGGGACTGTCCCAACATCTCTAGCCCTGCCCCCTTAATGACAATAACAAACTACAAAAGCCCATTATGGGCAGTTAGTTCCCTCCCATCTTGAGACCCAAGGGGGAAAGACAACATTAAGAAAGTAGATTCACAAATCCATAAATAAACGTTGTGATGAGGGCTGTGATGGAAATGATCAGGTTGCTGTGCCCGTAAAACAGATGAGGAGGATGCTCTAGTCTGGGTTGTCAGTGCAGGCAGGCCCTTTCGCAGGTGGATGTAGTTTAAATGTCCTGGAGGATAAGAAGATGCAGTCATGAGCACCTTCTGGGAATAGGGAACAACAAGTGCAAAGGCCCTGAAGTGGGAGAGGGCTTATCGAACTCAAAAAATAGGGATAAAAGATGGATAGGGCTGAGATAAGGGTGCAGATACTGGCAGGGGTAAGGACTCAGGGTTATGGTGAAGAATCTGGGTTTTATTCTAAATGCTTCTGTCAAAAGTTCATAGATAAGAAAAATAAAACCAATGAGTCACTGAAGTTGTAATTAGTGTTCATTGTGCACGCTGAAAAGACAGTAACCAGGAACACTCAAACCAAAACATGGAATAAGGCTCAGGGGTACATTATTATAAGGCAGCTTATTTAGTGAGAACGTAGTGACTGTTTATTTTTCACAGTGATTGGTTGTAAATATTAGAATTTTCTTGAATGATAGGGAATTGGTCAGTGGTTACTTCATATCGACCTTGGAAGATCGTTCAAATTTTGCTTATGATTTCCAGATGCATAAGCAAGAAATGACCCAGGTCAAGTCATCTTGTAAAACAAGCTAAATTAGGCTTTGCTTGTATAATGAAACTGTTTTTGTCTGCTTAGGGAATTTTCAAGTTTGGCCTCCGTTTGTTTTTTATTTCAAGAGCTTCCTGTTAGAAGCTACCAAAGAGTTTTAAGGAAGGAATTGCTGTGATGATAATAACAATGAGAAGTAATTAACACTACTGAGCACATGCCCTGGGCCAGGTGAGGTTTTACGCTCTTTACACACATTATTAACTCAGTATATCCTTATAATAACGCTAAGGTGAGTACTGTTTATATTACCATCTTATAGGAGGAAACTGAAGCAGGGAGAGGTTAAGTAACTTGCCCAAAGACAGCCAGCTCAGAAGCTCCGTTTTAACACATGAGCATTCTCCTGATTGTGAAGCCAGAGGAGTTGTATTTGTTGACGGACTGGCAGGGAGGTGTTGAAGAGTTGTGTTTGCTGCCCTGTGTCTTCAGCAAGCATTTCTCTGGCCCAGAAAGCTGCCAGCAGGTATCTATATTCCTTAATAGATTAAGTGTTAACCCAGGCGCGCACATGGCGAGGCTCACAAACTTTGTTAGGTAGCATTCTAACAAAACAAAAAAAGCACAAAAACAATAAAGAGATCCCTAGAAAAATTGACTAGTCTGGCTGGGAAAATGCAAAAATCTCTCAAAAGGCGCCCTAAAAAAACTCCAGAAGCACGAGAAAGGTTGGATTCAGTCACCAAAAAAACGATCAAGAACTCATCCGTTCGGACTCTGCTCTGCCTCACGTTACCGCCCGGAAGGGGCAGGAGCGCAGAACGGGGAGGGCGTGGCTTGCGGGGCTGGGCGGAACGTGCGCGGGGAGTGGTGACGTGGGGGCGTGGCAATGGGGGCGGGACGAAATGGAGACGGACATAGCGGGGGTGGGGCCCGGACGTCGGGAAGATGGCGCTGCGTCTGCTGAGGAGGGCGGCGCGCGGAGTGGCAGTGGCGGCGCTGCCGAGGCTGTGAGTGCAGGTC